GCCCGCATGTACCCCCTAGGGCCTTCCCAATTACCCTCAGGGGTATATATACCCCCAGTTGATAACCACTGCTTTATGCCAATGTAATGTTGCTATAGATGGGTTATGTATCAAGTACGTTGAGAACTGGTGTAATTAAGATGCCCAGTGCTCATAAACCATGCTTGCTTTTATGTTACCAGCGTGCCAGTGTCCTTCATTACTTTGAGAGAGAAGTCAAACATCTGGATTACTTTCAACAGCGACAAGAATTCCGAGCTAGAGAAAGAAAAGAAATAGAGTTAGAAAAACAGAGAAATAAAACAGTAAGTTTTATTGAAATTTGAAAAGAAAGCTGTACCTATTTATTTACTGTAGGCAACACTTCCTCTGCTATTTCCATTTCTAAGCTTTGTAAATTAAAAATAGCTTTGTTTAGCATATTTATGGAGTGCGCCACCATTTGGAAAAGAATACACGGTGCCATCTCATGCTTCATCCTCCATCCTTATTCAAGCAGAACACTGTGACTTTAGTAGAGTTAGACACAGTTATCTCCATTTGACATCTCTGATTTTCCTTTTCCTCTTACCCAATTGTTCTTTCAAAATGTTAGATGTGGGTCATCTTTTTAAAGAGGCTGCTTAGAAGTCAGCAGTCACAGGCTCCAAACTTCATCCCTACTGGTGCAAGTATCCCCTAAACACAAGAATGGTCCCATTGAACTCAGTAATGTTGAAGCAATGATTACTAAGTGGTTGCAGTTCTTCACCTTGCCACCATAAAGCAACACCTTGTTGACAAATTACAGCAGCCTTAGAGATATGAGATTCTAGTTCATGACAATGCAATTTAAGTTTGTTTTCAGTTGTTTGTACATCCTTCATATCTACTAATTGAGAGTATTACATAACAAGCTGTTGTTACTGTTGATCGTAGCACATTCCTACTGGTTATAAAAAATGCAAAAGCTCTCTCTTGTGGGAAAGATAATGTTATAATGTGTATTTTATAAAGAATCCTGTGTGTGAGGTGCAAAAGGAAAAGAACCTTTCTTTACAGAAAATAACTAAAGTGTACAAATTAAATGCAAAATTTAAGTCAAATAATGTATATCAAGATTTTCTAGTACCTTGCTAATTTCAAACCTGATTAACATTGGTTGCTTAAATAATTTTATTTGTGTAAAATAAATTCAGCCTGCCTGTAGTCTATTGGCCAATTGTTTGTTTTGGCACCTGGTAGATGAAACTGCAGCTCTGTGAACGTGATCCTAGAGGTCATTGTCTAGCTGGTTACAGATCAAAGAAGTTAGAGCACTGACTAAAAATGACAATAGAATGGTGTGAAGGATTCAAAGCTAATAGTAATATTTTCTTCCTTAGAGAGTGGTTCATCCACAGAAATCAAAAGAACAAATGGAAGAACAGATGAATATGGATTATTTGGAGTTTCTAGAGGTAGAAAAGAAGATACTGATAGACCTTGGACTGCTAAGGGAGCCAGAAAGACACGCCTCTTGATTGGACTAGAACAGGACATGGCTAGCATAGCCAACTTGCATTTTTGTTTTCAAGACATCTTATGGTCTTGTGAAACTTGTACATATGTAATTAGATATATATTTAGTTCGACAATTGTAGAGATAAATTGCCTAATACCTTGGCAGTAGTAGCCCACTAGTTTTATTAAGTCATTTACTTAGAGTTGTAGATAAGAGAAAATATGCTTCATGTATATATTCCCTGCATTGTCACCCATGAGTACTGTTAAACAAACATGAGCAGTCTACTGTTTTCATTTGTTTTTATATTATCCATTTATTTACTCTTATCACATATCCATCAAATATGTACCTGCTTAAAAATATTCTATGAAAAGCCTATTTGGTAAGCCAAACCAAAACCGTATCAGTCGTACCGTAGAACTGAATACAGGATATCCATTTTCCTATTTGACCACCCAAGTCTTGCTCCAAACATCTCCTGTTCCAGCAGTGGCCAATGCGTGGCACAAGCGTCACAACCAACCTCTGTATGTGGCATTTGATAGCTCAAAGAAGGGACAGGCAGCACCGCAGCAGATTGGGCAGGAAGCAGAAGGTGGACCATGAAATCAGGCAGGGAGCACAAGGCAAGAAGCAAAAAGCAGAGCGGGAGACTGGGCAGAGGAAGGGGATTGGACTGGCACGCAGGGAAGGTGCAGAGCTAATTTAGAATCATAGAATCAATGAGTGGGAAGGGACTTAGACAGATCATCTAGTCCGACCCCCTGCCATGGGCAGGAAGGAGCACTGGGGTGGGAGGGGTCATAAGACCCCAGCCAGGTGCCTATCCAGTCTCCCCTTGAAGATCCCCAGGGAAGGTGAGAGCACCACCTCTCTGGGAAGTGTATTCCAGGCTCTGGCCACCCTTACAGTGAAGTAGTTCTTCCTAATATCTAACCTAAACCTATCCTCCCTCAGCCTGTGGCCATTGTTCCTGGGGACTCCAAGGGAGGCCCTGGTGAACAGACTTTCCCCGAGTCCCTGCTGGTGGCCCCTGATAAGGTTGTAGGCAGCCACAAGATCCCTCCTCAGTCTCCTCTTGTGGAGACTGAAGAGATTCAGGTCCCTCAGCCTCTCCTCATAGGGC